TAACTTTCTAAAGCAAACCTAATCCACGGATGTACTTGCGGAGGTCGAAGACCTTTGTTTACGAGCCGCTGTTAACATCCAGTAAGAAGCAATTTCTGAGAGACAACAGGCAAAGATATGTTTACATGAGCCAATCGTCGCTTCCCGGGGCAAAGTTTCGACGTAAAGCGTACTTCGGCAGCGTTACTTCCGCGGAGCAATAGTTCGAGACGCTCGGGGAGTTCGAGATTTATGGCGGACAGAGACGAACTTGGTGCTCCTGTTTACAATCCTCGAGGAACCGAGGATTCCTTTGATTCTGAACTGACGTAAACGTTCCCCTCGCACGGCTGAACGATCTATAGTTTGATCGTTTAAAAAGAAACTTCACGGAAGAGCCACTAACAATCAATGCCGAGTAAAATATTCGAATTCCGCTCCTGAGAGGTTCTAGAAAATCCATTTCTCAGAATCGACGGATCTTTCACTAGATATATTCGCTGTTCTAATGAAATATTCATTAAACATACAAAGGGTTGATACTCCAGAATTTCATTAAACATAAACTTATTTAACACTACTACTGTACCACTCAAAATGGTTTCGATGTATTCCTTTCTCAATTATTGACATCTCAAAAGCATTCAACACTCGAAGTGAAAACAATTTCACTTACAACGAATATCGAAGGAAACTGAAAATGATCTATTGTTACAGTTTCTATAGATTACATGTTAACCCCTTGGCCTATTTCTTTCTAAATTCTGATCGATACGACTACTTTGTCATTAATAAGTTTCACAAAGGTACTCTACAGCCTCGAAACAACGCAAAACACTTGACGATCTCCGGCAGAAACCATCGGTTTATCAAAAAACGTAACACGACGCTCGCAGCGTCGCATTGAAAAAAACGTAGAACCATTCCCAGACGTCTGTCCTTCCGCAAATAGGTCGCCGCGGTTCAGTTTCCCAGGAATATCTAAGGAAATTGAAGTTGCTTATAAAACGAGCATATAAAGCTATCGATTCACGGCGGGGGCAGCCGCGGGAAGCGATTCGCCGCGCGGGAGAAAGGGAAGCGGCATGAATGCGGAAAGATCAGGGAATTCCGGGAGAAATGGAAAACCGTGGGCGAAACGGGTGCACTACGGAATCGGCAGATAACGCTGAAACTTCCTCTGCCGGGGGCAGTAATCGGCGTACCGGTGTGCCCCGGTACATTTGTTTGTCTACGACGCAGAACGTGCGTTCCCGTGCCAAACAACGTCTGTTTCAGCATAAATTCGTTGGAACAGAATTAACAGTCGACGCTGAAGCTACCGAGCAGTCGGTTTTTTGAAATTTCTCTATGGAAACCTCAAGAGTGGGTCTATTATACAACTATAGAAACCAGTTTCTTGAATAATTTCTCAGAGAAACATCTGTTAGTTGTAATAATTGCAGACAGAAGATATCATTTCATTGTTGACGAACCGGAAGTACTTCAAGTTCATTTCAAAACATACTGTGACATAGATAACAAGCGAAAGAAGTGATCTAGCACAATGCTTAACGTGTTCATTGTCAATACAACAATATCACTGAGAAAAATAATGAGTTTCCTGTATATTGGACGCAGTAGGTAAGTGTCACTCGAAACGACGTTCAACGTAACACAACTTTAACCCCTTGACCTACAATATCGTATCAGACTCGTACTGAAAATTGTAAATTTTCAGACATCCAAGTGTCATTTCCCTTAAATATAAATTAAATATTACTTTTCTTTCATCAATCGTCCACCTATGTCAGTAGACATAGACATAAAACAAGCATCAAATGTCCTAGTAAATTATTCATAAAGTAGTCGTGTCGATCGCAAAACATAAATCATAGCGCGAGGGGTTAACTTTCACATGCCCCGGTTCAAATCAGCGAGCCAGGCGAATCGCGGTTCATCGACGTTCCTTTTTCGCTTGTTGTTCCATTGCCGGGCTTAATACGGCGCAATCGGCGGGCCACGACCCCCACGGAGGAATTAAAGTTGCCGGGACAAATGGCGGTGCCAAGGGACACGCTCGATTTACCTCAGCGCTCGCGCACGAACGGGCCCGCCGAATGGGAGCGTCTTCGGGAACCGAAGAACGCCGGCCGCGCTAACTTCGCCGACAGTCATTCAACGCGCGCCGCGAGTTATGACCAACTTTTCGCGCGATATAAGACCCCGAGACGTGTCGGGGCACGTGAAATACGTAACCCCCGAGTGACCGAGAGATTTATCGAGACATCTGCTTTCGGCTGACCCGTCCGTGGGTTTTCTTAAATATTCATGCATTTTGAAGTCTGGAAATAAATGTATATTTCCGTCGGTTTGGAGGATTGTTGGGCATTGTTATCGATGATTCTGACGCTGGCTCTGGCGACGACTTTGGGAATAAGGGATGAATGATTGATGTTTCGAAGCTGTTCGCTTTTGCGGAGACTATTGACGAATTTATTTTCGGAGGCTTGGGGATCGGTGCAGTTCTTGATCTTTATATTGAATTACGAATCTAGAACCTTGGACAAATGAAAATTCTAATCATAACTCGTTAATGAATTAATATGTAGATCTACGCTTCGAATCCTAGACGCGTAACAATACAAACATGCTTAAGGTTTCAAGGTATTTTCTGCGTCAGGGATCAGTTAAATTTCTCTCGTCCTTAATCGATAATTAAAAAACCTTATATTGAATTACGAATCTACTGGAACCTTGGACAAATGAAAATTCTAATCATAACTCGTTAATGAATTAATATGTAGAAGATCTACACTTCGAATCCTAGACGCGTAACAATATAAACGCGCTTGACATTTCAAGATATCTTCCGCGTCAATGATCAGTTAAATTTCTCTCATCCCCAATAACCCCCAAAAATCTGCAGTTCGCAAACGAAAATTTCATTCTTCCGATAAATCATCGCGCGAAAGAACTACGCCCTAAATTCCCGATCGCAAATACATTACCACAAATCGAGCTCGGCCGCGTAGCAATGCGAGCGCGCCGGAACGGAGTTTCGGGCCATAGTTAGCGGGCCATTACCGAAGTCCTGGTGCATATCGAAATTGAATTACGGGTGGGATTTTAACAGCGGAAAGTTTCAATAGATCGAAGGAAGGAAGGAGCGGCTGGCGCCGCGGCGCTTCATGGTCGCAATTCGCGGTCGGAGCGTCGGCCGCGGGTAAATTCGCGCGGCCGCAGAATGGGCCCTCCATTAACGCGAGCTCGAGAGGGCTCGATCGCGGGGCGGTCAAAGGCGGAAAAGTTCGAGTCCCCGCGACAAATGGCATTTCAACGCTGGTCCCGTTTCTCGATGGACCGGCGACCCCACACAAGCGCGAGCGCTGGCAACGCCGACAAACGGGTCCGTTGTGTAGGTGTTCAGGAAGCGCCGAACCTAACGCAATTTGTACGCGGTGTTTTAATCGAATCCGAACGACACCGAGCCCGCGAATCCGATTTCACGCGGCCCCGATAGCACGCCTTTACACGGCCCGGCCCGATTAAAACGATTAAACGCCGGACGGAATCGAATTCGCGGCGCGCTGACTAAATACTGACAAAATACCGACCGCAAGGAGGATTTACCGAGTGGCTAACAATGTTCTTCGGGAGAGCCGTCGTTTCATTATCTCCGATCGGGGATTAATCAAGCCGCCCCCGCGCACCACGCCGTTTACGCTTCGTAATTAATGATCCGCGAGATAACACCCGTGGCCAGCGACAGGCAATTTAAATGATTTAATTAAATCGGGCCGAAGGTGACAGATAACTTTAATTAAGCGATCGACTCTCCCGATACCCTTTGTGCACGGTGTTTAAATTTCGGGGCTGCCCGGCGTTAACCCTTTGCGATCGAGAGTTGATTGCAAGGTAATTACTTGATTTAGTGTACCGAAATTATGGAGTCTTATATGTAACGTTAAGCTATTCATCAATATGTGAAATATTGAAATATAATAGATTTGTTTCTTCATTTTTGGATGGTTTCTTATTAATTTGTTGTCGTTTGTATCTCATGGGTAACTTGAATTTTTAGTGAGACGCTTTCGAGTTGGAGGTTTATGGTATTTTGGATGAAATGAGAACTGTATTAGAGGTTATGTTCATTAGCAATTTGGGTCTAGATCCTACAGAATCAACAAGTCCGAAGGTTTGTTACGATCTTGCAGAAGTGTTTCTTCGAGGGTTCTAAGGGTCTCTGGGATCTTCGACCTCTCATGAAGGACTTTTTCCAAGATCTTCCGGTTCCCTATAGTCCTCCAAATCCCTTGGAATGGTTCATACAAGGACTTTCTGGGTCCTCGTGAACTCCACGTCCCTTGGAGACTTCTAGAAACTTTCGGGATCTTCGAGACGCCTGAAGACCTTCGGAGACCTCTTCAAGGGTTTCTTGATTCTCCGAAACCTTCGTGGTTACGATGGGTCCTCCCAAGGGTTTATGGATCTGTGTAATCTCCGAAATCCCTTGAAGAGTTCTCGCGAAGTCCTCTGATTAATCAACATCGGTTGTGTTAGTTCATTTACGAAGTTCTGTACTGCAAACGTATGAACTAATTATTTTTCTATCACAATAGCATCGTTTACCAGCACTAGAGTTACCGAGTGAAACCATATTTATAATTTCGATGATCTTACGTTAAGCGCCATGAAAATCATGACCGTTTCACCGTCTATTGTTTGAAAGCGAAATGGATCAGCTGCGAACAGCTAAATTCTGCAGTTCATCAGCAAAGAGTTTATTAACCAGTTAACTGTGTTCGACGAGTATACACGTCATCTTAAAACTCTTAACGGTGCTAACTGTTTCACCAATGGATTATTTATATTTCAAGACAAACATGTAATTCTCCTCCGTTTCGCTTTAGTTTTTCGTCAGGATACATCTCAAGTGCATTTCCCCTGCATTCGACGAGTACGCACCTCATTATTTGATTTTATTGCGCTTTTATTAAACAAGCGAACATGTTCATTCAAGACGCGACGTTTCGTTTCAGGTATAGAGCGAGCGCATAAGGAGGGTAGATTAGCGAGCCTGATAGGGGTCGAGGGTGGCCATGCCGTCGGAGCGAGTCTGGCAGTTCTGAGGATGTTGTACGAGTTGGGCGCCAGATATCTCACCCTCACGCACACCTGTAACATACCTTGGTGAGTTTACCAATCGAGATAGTCACTCTATAATTATGACCATGTTTGCACGACTAATTTACATCGCAATCGTACACCCGGGCCGACTCGCGCGCCGGATCTTTCTTAACTTCGTTCGATCGTCGCGTGTTAATTCGTCCATCGATCGCAACGCTTCGTGGTAATGCCTTCGCGTCGAAAATACCGCGATACCGTCGACGGTTCTTTCCGCCGTTACGTCGAAAAATAAGCCAGAGACAAACTGCGCCCGGTGTCGCTGAAACTGATGAAATAGAGACGTGCCAGATAGTCGGCTCGCGCACACCGCGGACTGAATACCTGCGAAACTTTATCGCTCCGCGGGAAAAATGTACTGCAAATGATGCAATAAAAGCGCGGCGAGAGATATGGCCTCGGAACGTTCGCGTCAAGCGTTCCCGTGTCGTTCGGGCGCATACATCGCGAACACGTTCGCGCGGCCATCGAGCAGAATGCAAACTTTCAATTCGAAATTATCGTCCCCGGAAATTCGATTTTATTGTATCCAATCCTGAAACCGGGCTCGCTCGACTGTGAATGTCCTAACGGGATCGGGGGCTCCATTGAAAATACGTTCGCCACAAAGTGGACCAGCTTCTAACGTTTCAGGAGCATGTGTAGCCCCGCAAACTTGAAAAGATCGCCGCGATTGAGGAACGGTCCTCCCGCTAGATATTCCTGTGAAATCTCCCGATGCTTTAACGTGCCGTTCCATATTTCAAAATCTCTTTCCGCTGGAAGTCTTCTATTCTGTCCGGACCACATTTCCGCGCGATAGAACGCCGTAAATTTTTAAAGCTGCCGTTCGAAGTTTAGGCAAATCGCCTTGAACTCGAGCTTTGAATATCTGTTTCTTCCTTCGTGCGTCTTCGTACGGAATCTTCAATACAATTTTCCCGACATTCCTATTCGCTTCGGAATCAACGGTAACCAACGCATACAACTTCTTTCGAAAGCGTATCGGTAGCCATCGGATCTCGGCGAAACGAACACGATATTTCGTAAAATCTTAGAACATTCCTCTCAATATTCATTCTGACATCCTTGCCATCGGAACTAGCTGAAACAATCACCTCTCTCTCCATTTCCAGAAACTTCCAGAATATACCTTTCCATAAACAAGTAAATAAATTCCTTGAGCTTCGAGTCAACGTCGCTACAACCAATTATCCACAACGGAGAATACTCTCTTGAAACAATCTCTTGCACTCGCCATCCAAGAACCAGCCAGCATTCGCAATGAAAATCAAGCTGCCAGTAAACCGACACTCGATCATCAATTTCAAAAATGCCCTCATATCTCTGAACAAACCTCTACAAATCCACTGCTTCATCCTCCGCGAAAGCTGTACACGCGATTCAGGTGCACACTTCTAGAGGAGGGCAGCGCGACGAGCCGGTGAAACGCGAAATCTAAAATCGTCGAAGTTAGATTGCAGGATGTTTTCAGGGAAATCGCGTGGAACTCGACGACGCGACGCGACGCGACGCGACGCCATCATGTTCGCGTCGTTCCCTCGGGGGTCCTTTCAGAAGTTCTCGAGCCGTGCGTTAGCGCCGGCCGGATAGCCGGCGGTATTTTTCGCGTCGGGATTTCCCCGATAATGCAGCCGGCCGTCGAACATCGTTGGCCGACCGTTCGCAGTTTGAAGCTCGCGACGGACGGGCGAAAAAACGGGGCCGGCGGATTACGCAAGGGTTGCCGGTGGCGTCGCGACCCAGCTGGCGCGCTCCGGTGTCGACAGAAATATTATTCTAGGGCAAACAATGGACGAATTCCCTTTTACGAGGCGACGCCGACTGCAACTAGGCAGCGGAAAAACTGACGACGCGGAAAAGAGGGTGGAGAACAATAAAAAAGTCGCGGAACGGGCTGACGGCTTTTGCGAGAGACACGTCGTCGCCGGCACGACCCCGCGGCGTAAACTTCGAATTTATTCCGCGGCGCGCACGCGCGGCACGTTAACTTCGACTCGTTACCACTGGTTAATACGTTCCGAACTCTGACCGAAAACTTCGGAGCTTCCGGTTTATACTCGTGATTTGTAAAGTCGACGTGGATTTATTCTCGCGACTCGAAGTACCGTCGCGTTCGACGCGTTCGTGCGAGCGCATTCGGCACGCGTGCGCTTGTTCGTTGGGGATGATTTTTCTTGGGTTCCTCGTTCGACGACCAATCACGAGGAACGTGCTTCTTGGCGATGCTGTCTATTCGAATCAGGAATTGTTTGGAACTTGGAAGATGGTTTGAAGTTTGAAGGACTCTGATAGCTTCCTTGGTTTCATGGAATATTGTTATTTTAGTGCTTAATTAACGCGAAGTGATGGTGATTGGTTGAAACGAGTACCTTTTAGGTAGAACGTTGTCTATGGAACGTAGTTTTCAATCCCAATTTTGATCATATTTCATTAGTTTCATTTCCAAAGTACATTCAGAGTAATGCAGTTATTGGATATATGGGGTGTCTAATAACTAGGACAATCTGTAACTCCATTCCTCACGCTTTGCACTATTAACCCTTTGCACTCCAAAAATTTGTCACTAGAAATATTCAACTTATTTTTACGAGATACAAATGACATTTTTTTCAACTAACTTAACGAGGAATCTATTCACAAAATAAGGGAAACAATGGTATTTTATTTCCACGTTTCACGTATCGACAGATTACTCAAGACTTAATGTTAAATACGAAATTCTACAATTTTGATGCACCAATGCAGTAGTGACTGAGAGGCACGTTCGGAGTGCAAAGGGTTAAATAACCTTTATCATACTAGCTTTCTCATAATCTCATCGAAGCAGTTGCAAAGTACGTGCACCTTAAAAAACGAAACTCCATATTTAAGATCCAATCATTTCAAACTCAATACTTCCAAACCTTCCGCTTCAACAAGAAAGTCACATCCCAGACACCCGAACAGCGTCCAAGTGTCAAAAGCAAATTCAACCTAAGCAGCACCGAGTAGAGATCGAAATCCCGCTCGTTAACCGTCGACTCGTCGCTCGCGGGATATCCGGGCGTATATTTATACGCGAAATTACGCGGCCGGCGGCGCGATAAATCATCCGCGGATTAATGGAACCGTAACAATATTATCTGCGTTCCGGCGTTTCCGGGAACGACCGCGCGTTTTACGAGTCCGATAGATTCCGGCGATACGCCGATAAATATCGATGCGGAGGGCTCGTTTCGCCCGATCGAATCAGCGATCGTCAATTCCGTCGGATCCGCGGCAGAGGCAAAAATTCGTCGCCAGCCGCATGGAAACGCGTTCCCGGGCACCCTTCCCAATCGAAACGATCGATTATCGTCGCTCGGAGGGCGGGCGCGACGTCGTATCGCCGGTCTGTTCGCCGGTGTCGAGAACATCGCGCTAACGCGGACGATCATCGTCCCGGAATTGCTCGGACTCCTCGGAAGCTCCGTTTGTAGTCCGCGTCTGTGGTAATCGTATCAGCTCGCCGGACAACTGACGGCCACGGATCCGTGACGCGATCGTTCGTCGGCCGATTTCCCCGGCGATAACGGCTCGCGCCGCTGACGCGTCGATTTTAATAATTTAATCCGAGGATTCCCCGTCGCCGCCGGCTCGACCGGATATGATACGTCGTACCGTCGTACGACCTCGTCGACTGGGTCAGGGTGTACCGAGGTTAATGCCCGTTACGTCGCCAGTTACGTCGCATTGTTTGAGTTCGACCCGTTTAGGTCCCATTTACAGTCGCGGCCGACTGTCTGCTGTGTTTACGCTGCTGCGCGGCCGGATGCTTACCTCGTGGCCGCGTGTTGGTGATTTTTCTTTGGTCTCGGGCATCCGGGAGTCAACGCGAAATTCGGTTTCATCGGGCATGTAACCTGTAAGTGCGACGCGAGTTTGGGAAGTGGGTCTGTTGATATCGGAGATTGTCTTTGATGGTATTGCATTAACACTAACTGTAGTGGCATTTTGTGTGTCTCTATCGAAATGACTAGCTGCGAAGGAAAGGCGAACGAGTTGGATGAGTTTTGGTTAGTGGAAGGAAACGGAAGGGAATATGGACATTAGAGATTAATCGGGAAATAGGAATTCATAGGGAGTTTAATGAAAGTAAATGCAGAATTTTTAACGTTAGTAACGTTAGTGGTACGCGTTGAAGCGTTAATTGGTAATAATGATGGGTTTGAACTAGTTTTGTAGCTTATCTTAATGTTTTATCGTTTGTTAAGTGTCTCGAAAGTAAAATGTTAGAGAAGACAATACTGTGAGAACGTTAAAATATATAAGAATTTTTAAGCGAATTTTAGAAGCATTCGACCGGTTCGTAACGATACTGTTACGCGTTGATGCGTTAATTGATGATAATGATGGGTTTGAACTAGTTTTGTAGCTTATCTTAATGTTTCATCGCTTGTTAAGTGTCTCGAAAGTAAAATGTTAGGAGGAACAATACTGTGAGAACGTTAAAGTATCTAGCTTAATTCCTTTGATGAAGAAAACCGAATTTCCCATGGCATTGCTTCACGAACTAGCAATACCGATCGTATGAACTCGAACGAACCGATGCTCCACAAACGGGAACGCCTACAAAGGGATTGGAAGCAATAGTTTGCGATATATTTGTAAACAGTTTGCAGCCTACGATCTGGCACGCCTTTGATTGCGCATTCCAAGGAATTAACGTTTCAAATCAAGGCGTTTGTGCGGCCCGCGCGGCAATCTCTGCGGTCATTAGTCCGGGGAACAATTCCGTCCGCGTTGCTTAGCATTGCGAACATGGGACTGTATGATTAAAGGGCATTGTAGGACAGTAATACTGAGGATTGTCGCCATCGAGTTACTGACCTATTGGTTCGTTAGGGCAGAATGCAGCACAGTGGATGAACCCGGTAAAGTGTCTCACATCGGTGGCCTCTCCAATTTCGGCAAGGTGAGTACAGAAAACCAACTTTGTTACTCGATTTTATATACAAACTTTGTCCACACGCTACACATTAACAGTATAATGTAAATAACCAGCGAGTGGAAACATTAGCTTTACACAATACCAACTTTTTGCAGGAATATCGATACCCAATCGACGAGAAATCATTTGAACCTTGACACTCAACTACAACCATTGCGATGAAATAATAAATCTATGTCTTTTAGCTGTAAGATTCAATTGTCCTAAACGAAATATAACCCTTGATAATGACGACATTTTGCCGAGAATTGCAAACGAATTAACTATTCAAACAGCAGGAAATCAGTATAGAATTTCCTTATTCTCTATTACTTAAGCATTCGACATTAAACTTGACAGAATCTACAGGTTTCGTATACTTCAGATCTCGCAAAGTGTTCAAGAACGAGCTATCGAATGTCTCCGAACGAAATCCACCTTAAACGTAATTGTCATTCTCCCAAAGTCGACTGACAAACACCGAGTTCCCTAGAAAATCCCCGAACAATCGCAATTATTAACGTTCCAAGCAGTGTCGGCGCAACCTTCATTGACGGTTTCAATGCTGCGACCACTTCCAAACCAATAATCTTCAATGCTTCCGGCGTAATTGACGCGAATTGCCGGTGGCGCAAGAACAAGCCAGCCATCCGAGGCGTCCCGGGTTAGGTTAGTTAGGGTTTTTGTTCGTCGGCGACGAAGAAGACGTCGGTCCCGGGATTTAGCCGGGGCCACGGTGAACACCGGTGTTTTACACGGTGGATTAAAGCGCCGCAGCAGCTGTCCGTCTCCGGCGATTCCGTCGCGGAATCGGCGTTCCCCTTCCCGCGCGACCGAGGGGCCGTAAATCCAGCCCGCCTTTTAACCCCCGTCGAATCGACCGACCATAAATATCGGAAGTTCGACGGGAATTTGAGGGAAAGATAGATTTTCAACGGAGCCGTTCGCTGAATGGTCTCATTCGAACCTACTGTTATGTATCCATTACGCGGGAAAGGTGGTCTCGGCCGCCTCGAAAAAGGAATTCCGGTGAATTCCTTTGGCCGGAGCTGAGGCCTGGAATCGTGTTCCCGCCGTGTGTGCGCGCCGCGAACGTATTTGCCGAACGTTCTTAATGAATTACATGGATTCGAGCAGACGTCGGTCGGAAAACCGAGCTGCTGGAACGCCCGTGTCTTTGAAAATGGCGGAATAGCGGGCCGGCTGTGGCGCTACAGCCACGCCCTTTGCGCTCCCGACCTTTATTTCTCCGATTTCACCTCGTGTTCCTTCGTTTTTTGTTCTCTTCAATACGACTGTTTGGTTTATCGTTTCATTGTGTTATTAGATTTCACTGTATTTCGTTATTGTATTCTCTCGATCGAGTTCTGTAGATCTTAATCCTTTACAGTCACCACTTGGCTTGATGCAGGGAAATTATGAAGTTGAATATTTAGTTGAATATTAGATAAAATAGCTTCGTTGCTTAATTTATCTGTGAATTATCGTTGGATTAGTTTCGAACAATGTTGTTTATCGGAAAATGTTGAATATTTCCAGTGAAATGCTTTCGAGTGCAAAGGGTTAATACACAATTCGCAATTTCGTAGTCATTTCTCTTCCAATAAACATTCATCGATATTACATACTTATGATTACAATTATCAGAGTAAAATACATAGTTCCTCAATCTTTCTAAAAAAAAACGATAAATTGTAACTTGAATCTAACCATGCTTTTGATGGATCTTCCAATTTAAATTCGAATTTCTTCGCTGTGATTTCGAATGTTTTCAATTTGCGAAACGTCTGCTTCTCCTGAAACGAAACACGAAACTTCGAGACTCGATGCCTGTATTTCCCAGCGCGAGCGCGACGAAGTTGCCGTCCGTTCCCGAACTCTTTTCGCGTCGCGCGAGCGGACGCATTGAAAACAGGACTGAAATCGTGGCGGGCTGGATGCCCGGCTCCCGAAACGAGAATTCAAACTGCGAGTTATTTATGAAAATTGGCCGTCGGTATCCGCGGAATTCCCGTCGGAGTATTCATGAATTGCCGGGCCGACGTTCCGCTTATGCGAAAGAAAATTATGGGCCGCATCGATCAGCCCTCGGAACAATCGTTCGCGTTTTAAACGCGCATACTTCGAATGCTAAGGCCGCCGCGCCGTTTCGAGCCGTGACTCGACTGGTCCCGTCGTCGGATCACGAACACTCTAAATATCGTTTCGGGAAGAATCATTCCCATGTTTTCTATTCGACAGAATCTCACTAGAACTACCAGTGTAAAGGGTTAATGGAGAACTTATGGTGAATAGGGAAAACTATAAGTTCGACATTTTGCCGAATACGAAAGTGAGTAATTTAATTTGGATTTATGGTAAATTCCCAGCAGAACTGAATTAAAACTATATAACGATTGTTTCAAATGTTTACTTTGTTACTAGAACGACATTTATTATTATTCAATATTAGAAGCATTTACCGTGCACTACATAAAACATTCAAAAGACAGGAAAACCTTCCCTTTCGCATTGCACGGTAAATAAACAGCTTCTTTGCCTCTTAATTTCAATGATCACTGAATCACTTACACACCGCTCTCACGGAAGATTAATCTCGCAAACATGAAAAAGCATAGAAAACGGCGAGTCCTCGCCGCGATGATAAATGCCGCGCGATATTCTATAAAATTCCGCTCGTCCCCGGGAAAGCGAAGGGAAGTGTGCGAGCTTCCGAGGCGTGTTTCATGTTTGGAAGTGCATGATAAATAATTTTCAAAGTAACGCTGCGACACGGCCCCGTGTATGTCGGGGGATGTAACTGCTCTCGCATTCGCGGGAGGGAAGCGCCACTTTTTTAAAGTGAAAGTTTCAGACGGGCAGCTGCTCGGGGAGGTATTTCTTCAATCTTGGGACACGCTGGGCGGACGGGGCGCGGGGTTTAAACTCCATTGGGCTGAAGGGCTGCCTGCGATCTCACTTCCGGAGATATTCCCAGGATGAGATGTGTCCGTGCGGCGACAAAATTTCTGTTTCCTGAAGATTTCCTTGATTCTTCCACCGATGCGAGCATTGATATTGGAGTAACAAGATTTTCTGGCTCGAATAAAGCTGATAACAATGAATCGATTGAGAATCATTCTCAATCAATTAGATCGCTTAACCCCTTCTTCTATGATTTATTTCTCGAATATCGATATAGCTACCTTGTCATTAATTTATTAAACCTTTGAACTCTGTAGAATCCAATATTGCATCTGTTATAACATTAACCCTTTGATTTGACACAGCTAAATTGTCAAGATTTGACAAGCTAAATTACAGAGTTTGATATTTAATATTAATCTTAAAGAAACTACCCTGAAATTATTCGATTTTCCACACATCCAAATTTTCTGCTAAGGAAAATAAAAGATCGAAGAAATGTTAGCATTTCTAATTTTCGCTAGGAATACTATAAAAATTCATGCAGTTACTAATAGACTAACAACCTGGAGTGCTTAGGGTTAAAAGGATTCTGTATTGAACATACTCGATGTTTACTAGGAATCAGTTAAAAGCATTCGTCCCTTGTCTTGCGACTTAATTAAATTATTCCGATGATGATACATACTTTATGTCTCAGCTACCCTTGAGTACATTAGGGGAACACGGAGAACCTAAGCTTAATTCCGCCGGCATCAGCAGATCTTATCCCTTTTAGCTTAATGTTGATTCCGGAGAGTAGGAAGTAAATCATAGGAGCGTAATCCGGGAATAGATGGGATCTTAGGGAACTCTGCGCTAACAAAGAGTTTACGAATTTTAGTAACATGGTCTACCACGTTTGGGAGCTTCAAAAATATACGCACTGCTCAAAGATCTTTTATATCATCTACACTTCTGCTCAAAAAAGGCACACATCGATGATGCAAATCCCAATAACCTTATCTAAACTGAAAAATATAAAGCGACGATAGAATCTCCTCGAACAACCCCTAGTACTGCTACACATCAACATTAGGCTTCTCCATCTAAATCACGAACAATTCAATGACCAAACCACCAAAATATCCTCCTCATAGTTCCTCGCGTCGAGCAGATCAACATAATTCATCTTCCACCACCCAGGACTCTCAGTGCCTCGAAAAATTCATTCTCAAGGGTTGAAACTCCCCGTCTCCAGAGGCATCAGCCCCGAATCGATTAAAGGTTAGGCTCCCCGGATCCGAGGCGAGCGGTTCCTCTCCTGCAGAACTTACCCGGGGCGAAGTTACGAGTGCTCGGCATCGCGTTCTATTTACCGAACGTCAGAAAAACGGGAGACAGCCCCGAGGGGTGTTTTCCAACAGCGTCGCGGATGTACGGTAGCGACTTCGCGACCGTGGTCGCGATACGAGCCAGAAGCACGTCCCGCGGGCAAGAACCGAACAGAAAATATCAGCGTCTCGCCTCGGTTCCCGCGGCGTTCGGCCTGCTCCATTGTAATCCAATTACTTCCATCGAAAGAGGCGTTTTGTTCGTGCGAAGGTACGAGCCTCGCTCCTTTAAAAGAAAGAACCTCGGGGAACAGATAGCCCGGAACGACGTTCATAAGTTACGCCGCGAAAATGTACTGTGTCAAGTAGTTATAAGCAATTTCTTTGTGCGGAACCGCCGGGACAAAAGCTCCGCTCGCGTTCCTCCGGGCGGCGCGCCGATGAAAAAGAACGAGCGGCCAACGGAAAAGGAAGGAACGTATGAGAAACGACCCGGCAACCGCGATTCCGCGGGCGACGCGCGGCGAAGATAAGGCCGGGTCGTTTAAATATTCAGTGAAGATCCTCCTACGATTGTTTTAGCATCGTTAGAGTCTAACCTCCGAGCGTTCCGCTCGGCTGCGGGCTGATTCCGTATCGGACCTCGCCGCGTAGTTAGCGATTCTTTTCGAATTCGACGAAGCTGCCGCGCTTCCGCGCGAATTGCGCCGCTGCTTTTTACCGCCGCGACTCTCGACCCCTAGTTAGCTATAATTCCCGTGAACTTTC